CTGTAATTGAGATCTGGATTTTTGTGTGTGTGTAACTCCCGTACGCTTCAACCTCCCTAGAAATATGTTTTGTTCAGACGAGAGAGAATCCTTTTTGGAGGGGATTCGTGATGGTTCTGAAATTCTCTTTCCTTCGAGACATGTCTGTCTTGCTTCCTCTCTACAAGCTGGTAAAAAAATCTTGTTTCAGAAAGGTTTTTAGGCTCTCAGCTGAATTTTTCACTGTCTAAAAACCAACAGTGTGTCAGTGTTAATGTCTCTGGCAGGTCAATCTGTTGCACAAGTGTACTACCTCTCTCTTTGCAGCTAGCCATTTACCTTTCTGATGATGACTGATGGACCACCAGGGGAGGGAGGAAGACTGGCCTTTATTTAAAAATGAATTTTATGCTCATATTTTGTGCTGCTCCTAAGAGTGTTTTAATGTAATAAAAGTAGCTTTACATTATATTGTTTTTGTCTTGTTAGCTTCCTTGAGTTCTCCAGAGAAAAGGCAGATGATAAATTTTAAAAATTAACAGGTTCAGATGTGGACCTGTTGTACTTTCAGCCTAAACCATGCCCATGTCTGCCTGTCTGTCTCCCACTTTATAAATATAAGTTATATCTGCTACTCTGTACACTTTTTACTCTGGCTGTCTAACTTTGGCATGTGGACTATGATAAGAAAAATATTCCCTACTCAATAAATGAGTGAATAAACAAACAAAGTCAGTTTAAGTATATTTTCATATGCAAGGCTAAAGCAACATATGATTTACATGGGTTGTAGTATAAATGTGAAACCTACATTATCCATTATCACATATCCTATGTGAAATTCCTTTCTGTTTGCTGTCCTCTGAAGATGCCAGCCACAGAGACTGGTGAACCTTTAGGAAGAATAACCTTCAGAACACGGCCAAAGAGCCCAAAAGACCCACAATAACCATCCTTTCTGTTTATTTATTTATTATTTGTTTAAAATACTTTTATCCTGCCTTTCTTCTCAAAAGAAGGCAGCTTACATCATTAAAACATTACTGTATTTAAAATCTAAAAATAGTAAGTATAAAATATTTAAAAAGAACTGAACAAGTATTATATTAAATTGGCAACTAAGATCAATATTAAAACACATGTTGGGCATTCTGTTCTTACAGATGTACATTAGTACAAGAAATAAGGTCAAAGACTGATAACTCTCATATTTGAAAATGTTCTTAAGCTGTACATGAAAGGAAAGGAAAACCTTATCTGGGGAAAATCCTTGCAGACCTCAGATATCAGAGGCAAACTCTTGAGACTGAACAAATCTCACTCATTGAACCTTCCCTTGGCAAATGGTGTTACTCTACCACCACCGTTGTTTAGCTTATTAAACTACATTGTCTGTGACTTTGGCTTAGATTATTTATTTATTTATCAATCCTCTATGCTTCCTTATTTTTCATCCAGGGAATCTGGGTTGACATCTCATGGAGCTGTCTTGTTTTATGTGTGCAACAAAAACTCTGATTAGAGGAGAAAGTGGTCTAGTCTGATCTTTCTTCTCTATGATAAAGCCTATTTATACTTACAATGAAGATAAAGCATTTATTCAAAGGATAAGAAGTACAAGCACCTGATGAATTAATTAAATAAGAAGGATTAAAACAGGGGCTATCATATTAAATTAAAGACCATTTTGAGATAGTTTTAATAAGCTTATAACCAGCTGTTGGAATACAATTACTACCAATTAAATTTACACGTGGATGGTAAGGAAATGAAGTACAGTAATCTTGCCAACACAGAAATAAGACATAATTACATGGATATAGAAGACAGGCAAGTCATCATAATATATACACAAACTATTAATCATAATTACACAGTTGAATGCCATATGATGCTATATGGTGACAGGAGGCAAATAAAATTAAACTGTGAAAAGAAGCAAAAAACCCCACCACCTTGCTTAAAATTGAAGCTGCTATATTACAGAGTCAACATCAGGCTCATATTGAAAAACAGTTTCATCCAGTTGAGAATATAAAGACCCAACTGCACATTATGTTTCATGTTTCCCGATACTTAATGTGCAAATTTTTCAAAATGTAATTAGCACCCTCTGTTTATCTGTGATAATAGAATCACAGGAGGAAGAATTTGTCAAGAGAGTATCTGCTATACTTGTACTAGCAGAAACATTTTAAGCTGATTAGAGAAAGAATGTGGCTGCCTGGAGAGAACGGGTGGAAACTTAACAGAATTCAGTGCTCTTCCTTTAACTCTGGATGCAAAACTTAAGACGGGCCAAACTTAGTTTAGAAAAATACTTTGTATAAACACATGGACCTGAAACAGCTTATCTTCAGCATAACAGCTTAACATAACATCATATCCAGTAACTGGTTACTCACAACCAAGTAGAACACAACATGCCAGCCACAGAGCAACCTTCAGAACACGGCCAAAGAGCCCGAAAAACTCACAACAACCATTAGAACATAGCAGCATGACCAGAGCAGCAAAGCAATGCTCTCACTGAGCTAACTTTATAAAGAGAAAATACCTCTGTAATCAGCACCACCAGCACAAGGCAAATCAAGCCTCTGACTCTGCCTGTTAACCAGCAAGAGGTGTATGTGTGCACTTTACATACAGTCTTTCTTCCATATTTTACTTACATGAGTACATTTCATCCTTTCAAGACTTTAATTTACAATATAGTGACCTGCTCCATTACAAATACCTTGGCAGAATTTAACGCTTTTGTCTTGTTTTTTTGTGGGGGAAGGACCTTCCTCTGAAGTTGCTGATTCTTGTCTTGTGAGAAGGGCCCCCACTGGCCCCCAAATTAGGAAGAATTAGTTACACCTCTTACATTGGGATCAATGAGATGAGTCTTTCGCTTTGCGGTCCAGTTGCCTCATTCATGGAAACTTTAAGAGAAATCCAGACTATTTGCAACTCTTCAATATGAAGCCCTTCTGAGGTTTCCTATTATTTTTTTCAGTCTTTGTTTTCTTACTGGAAAGAAACTGTTGAGGACACCAGGGATGTACACAGCTTCCAAATCCCTTGTGGGGTGACGGACAACAAACAGAAAAAACACCCACTGCTAGACTCAACTACCTCTGTATTTAATTATGAGTGGCAGAAATCTTCTATGAAGGATGCTTAGGCAATTTAATAGCAGCCAGATCCCCTAGATTTTTAGTGGGAAAGATTATATACACAACTTTCTTCTCCTTTTTATTCACCCTGGTCTGTAATCTGTAAATTTCCTAAGCATATAGGAGTACAAGTTCTCTGAATTAGAAAGCTGCTCCTAAGTGTAGGTAACAGTTGTCACATCTAGCCAGAAACATCAGTTCCATCCCCAGGGTCAAAGAATTACATATCTGAGCATCCTGTTCAAACAGATGTCCAGGCCATTTAATCCATTACCTCTGTAGTTAATTCAGAGGAAGTCTTGTTCCACAGTTTGGATCTACTATTCTAGTTAACTGCAAGGAGAGGGCATGAAGTGTCTGATATTGTGTGGCCAGTCAAAGAAACATTCTATAAGCCATTTTTAAAAATAGGATCAATAAATGAATATCTAGAGAACCTGCTGAAAAATAGCTATGACAATTGCTTTGTGTTTGGATGAGAAGTGGTTACCTGATGAGAAAAAGAGTCACATTCTTGAGTTTTCCTTTCCTTGGTGTCTGTGAATGGTAGTGAGCACAAGAGGGGATTCTGCAGAGCATGTTCACTGCTGCCACTAGTGTTGTCATCATTCAAGCTAGCCTTTGCTATGTACTGTATACTGTAGCTTGGTATCCTTTTTCTGGCTGACAATGGGACACACTGTTGCAAGGGAATAAAAATCCATCCCTGGTCTGTGTGACTTATTATAGGGAATGGTAGGTGGCAGCTTAGTAACTGTGTGATAGATCCCAGTAGGTCTGGGTTTGACACACTTGCTTCTCCTTTTTATTCACCCTGGACTGTAATCTGTAAATTTCCTAAGCATATAGGAGTATAAGTTCTCTGAATTAGAAAGCTGCTCCTAAGTGTAGGTAACAGTTGTCACATCTAGCAAGAAACATCAGTTCCATCCCCAGGGTCAAAGAATTACATATCTGAGCATCCTGTTCAAACAGATGTCCAGGCCATTTAATCCATTACCTCTGTAGTTAATTCAGAGGAAGTCTTGTTCCACAGTTTGGATCTACTATTCTAGCTAACTGCAAGGAGAGGGCATGAAGTGTCTGATATTGTGTGGCCAGTCAAAGAAACATTCTATAAGCCATTTTTTAAAATAGGATCAATAAATGAATATCTAGAGAACCTGCTGAAAAATAGCTATGACAATTGCTTTGTGTTTGGATGAGAAGTGGTTACCTGATGAGAAAAAGAGTCACATTCTTGAGTTTTCCTTTCCTTGGTGTCTGTGAATGGTAGTGAGCACAAGAGGGGATTCTGCAGAGCATGTTCACTGCTGCCACTAGTGTTGTCATCATTCAAGCTAGCCTTTGCTATGTACTGTATACTGTAGCTTGGTATCCTTTTTCTGGCTGACAATGGGACACACTGTTGCAAGGGAATGCCTGTCTGTTTCCTGGTGTTTTAAAGTGTGGATACAGAAGCAATATCCTACATTCATAAACCAGAGGTTGTTTGAAGGGTTGAATGAAATAACATTATGTTGCTCCATGTACACAGCCTTTTCTCCACTTGTGATCAAGACAGAGAGTCCCTCTTAGGTTTTCTAAAAAGGGAGACTGGCCTTTGAAACACATTCTTGGGCCTTGCAGTTGTGAACCCTGGTAGAAATTATTGCTAGTTAATGAAATATTTAGATGTGCCATTGACCAGTAAAGCTCTCTCCCAGTTATATGTGTTGATATATGAAATACTAACAATTAGTGCTGCTTCTGTGCATGGGAATTCTACCCAAGACTTCAAAATAACCATATGGCTGTTTATCTAAATTCCAGAAAGTTCCTGTTCTCCCACAATATTGTTTCATGTCTTTTCTTTTTCAGCTCAATTGAGGAATTTGGCGTGGCAAAGATAGTGCTGCTCAGCTTCATCTCTGCAGTTATTCTTATGGCTATCCTGGGGAATCTACTGGTGATGGTGGCTGTATGCAGGGACAGACAGCTCAGGTGAGTCCACACAAATGTTAGCATCAATTTCTTTGGAAGAATAAGCTTTTCTGTTTTGCAATTCTTGGGAAGAGAAAAATGTGCAAATCATTTCAAATATAAACAGTGTGATAAATAACATTCTCTCTACCCTTTTTCCTATCCCAGCGATTAACATGACGTCAAACTTTTGATTTTTTGCAGTGTGTCTTAGGTTAGAATTTATAGAACAGGTGTGTGATCTTTTTATTATCCAGTGTCTGCATGTCTAGAACTTGCATCACTGAAATACATAAATCATATGGGAAATGTCAAATCAAGCAGAGAACTGTGGTAAAAGGTACTTTCAGTTTATCATACTTTCTTTGTACAAACCAGGAGCCTTTCTAGTATAATCACTCAGGGATGCTATATTCACTCTCCCTTGCAGAAGTTCAGGTGGTTGCAGCATTTCCTTATTTTACATGTTTCTTGTAGAGTTATTTCGTGTAACCAATACATAGAGTGGAAGTGGGGAAGAATGATGGATTGATTGAATGAGATGTTATGATATAAACTTGGAATATTACTGTAGCTTCCCAAGATTCCAAAGCACTGCTTCTAAGATTTTAAAATGAAAGACCAGAACAGTGACGGATTTACCAGCTCAAGGAATCTCTGGAACCAAGGCTAGCAGAGGTCCCTCACTGAGAAACCTGGATAGCCACCTTAGAAAATGATAGGATAAACTTTGTTGCAGTGCTGGTCTGATTCAGCAAGAGTCATCTTGTGACCTTATCTACAGTATAACCTTTATTGTAGATAGCTACAGAAAAACCCAATCTACTTTGAGATTTTCTTTTGGTGGAACGCCTACTCCCACCAAGATCTACCCGTGTCACTCGTGCGAGCCAGGAGGTGAGACTGAGGAGCCTAACGCCGAGGGAGGCCCGGAAGGTAAAGACAA